GCCCATCCCTGCCCACCAGAGCCCGGCCCCTCCTCTGCCCTCCAACCCCCGCCCGGGGGCGCAGCGACCTGGCCAGTGCCGACCCCTTGTTAGGTCTCCTGGGTGTCTGGAGTAAAAGGCAGAGGCTGAGCCCACGGAGTCTTGCCCCGAGAGGGGGCTTTACACCGCAAGTCTTGTAAGTGCAGGGTTGTCTTTCTGAGTAAATGGTGGCGGGGATGAGCTGCGATGTCACATATTCACATATTCGATGATACCTAAAAACATTTACCCCCACGTTGAAAGGGGAATATAGGCAACTATGATTTCTATAAATCAGAGACTTAATCTTCGTTGAAAAAATATTATTTGGTGTATTCAATTTCCTGTGAAACAGAATTTTGAATTTTATAAATGGAAATATTTTTTGGAATTAGAGTTTGCTTAAGAGAAACAAAACAATACAGGATATTTAGGCAGTTCACTTTCATTAGGATTTTGAATAGAAAATAGATCCAAGACTTCTACAGTCTACAATAGTATGGCACCAATATTTTCCACATTTTTAGAAAATCTGAAAGTCAACATGAAGTAGTTTTTAGACCAAAATTATTAAAGCTGTGTAAGGCATACCAGGAGTCATCTCTGAGAGTATGACAGGACAAACCTTTTCTATAGAATTATGCATCAATTGTTAGAATTATCTAGAGTGTTAAAAGCATTCAAGATTCATCCTTACTATCATTTGATGTTTTTTTCTTGTCCATAGCATGGATAGCACTGATTTATCCAAAGCTAAAGGTTTTTTATATTCCCGAGTTACATGTCAGCAGAACAGAAAGTTCAAGGGAAAAAAAAAAAAAAACAACCCGCATGGGTTCTATTCATTGAGATAGAAAAGGTGGTTCAGTCCCCCACTTTGGAGAGAGGGAGAGTGGAATATGTGTGGTAAAGCAGGATGCCTCTGTGCTTGAGTTCAGACTGGACCTAGGACTGGGTCAAGGCCAGAGAACACAAGACTAAGCATTATTATCCTGGGCCTTAGACCCAGCTGACAGCACCCGCACAACAGTCCTGGAAAGCTCTTGAGGGTATTCCCCCTCCCTTGGAAGTGTTTCCCATCTGGTTCTCTATTCCACCAGCCACAGGGAAGCATTCTTCACCTCTGTGTCCTGACAGACACTTTATCATCCCTGCAGGACACAGGGAGCCAGGCAAGAGTGAAGGGGGCAGCTGCACTGACCCGATGGGTTTCTAGCAAAGTAGCGGGGAAATCCCATAGAAAGAGGAGCCTGACTGGCTACAGTTCCTGGGGTCGAAAAGAGTCAGACATGACTGAGCCAGTGGGGATGAGGACGAGGTGGTGCCACCAGTCAGACGGATCAAAGCACCACTGACTGCCCACCTAAGCAACCTGCAAGAGGCCAGAGGGCAGCCGGTGCTGCGGAGGGCAGAGGATGAAAGCCTAGAGCATCCTACAAGCACAGGGCATGACAGGCCTGCACCTGGAAAGAGCTGACTAAAACACCATCTAGGTTATTCTTTGAAAAAGCCTCTCAGTAGGGGCGTTGGTGGCTCCGTGGTAGAATTCTCACCTATCACCCGGGAGACCCGGTTTTATTTCTGGTCAGTGCATTGTGGTCGTGTTTGTTTGGGCTTCCCTGGTGGCTCAGATGGTAAAGAATCTGCCTGCCATACAGGAGACCTGGTTGGGAAGATCCCCTGGAGAAGGAAATGACGACCCACTCCAGTAGTCTTGCCTGGAGAATCCCATGGACAGAGGAGCATGGTGAGCTACAGTCCAAAGGGATCTCAAAAAGTCCGGCATGACTAGCGACTAATACACATACCCTCTCTACATCCAAAAGAGACCAGATTCCAGGTTCCTGAAGGGCCCAGAGGGCCCTCTTCTGGACGGCCAAGCTGTTCCTGTCCTTGGAAGACAGGTCCCACAGAAGATAGCTTTGAGAGGGTCGCCAAAGGAAAGGAACCATCCGGAGATGTCTGCATGTTATTATCAAGTGATGTCATAACTCTTACATAAAGAAAGAAAGAATATGATATTAACTGCCCACGTAGGTACAGAATATACCATCTGCAAACTTTTGGTATCTTACAAAAGCTTTTGGTTTTGGTTTTTAATGAATTTTTGGAACTGAAGCCTCACATTCTGGAATGAAAACTCTGTAAGTAAGACTCTGGGTTTACCATGCCAGGAGAAAAGAGTGGAGGCGAGAGCTGGCCAGCTCAGGCCTTTCACAGCATCTCAGCTCCAACAGCCAGCCTGAGGTCCAGGACTCTAGGCCCAGACTCAGCGGCTTAGGAACTCTGTGCAGAAA